AACAGAGAACATCTTTTGCCACTGCAAAAAAATTAACAAACTGGCAACTAACACAACGTATATGAACAGAAACGCGTCTCCATGCACATCTCAAACACACAAGGCAAGTGACTTTGATAAATGCTGTGCATGGTAAAAAAACTGCACTATGTGCCTTTAAGTAGCCAGACTACCTTTTTAAAAACTTACTATGCTCGGAGAAAATCCAGATTGGGTTTCAAAGAAATTAATCTTTGGTGCTAGCTAACAGGGACGTAAGGGAGACGACAACACAATGCGCTAGCCTTACATCCCTGTTTGCTATCGCTGAATAGTGTTTTGAGGTTTGTTTTACCAACACGGCCAAAAATGGCAATGCTAAAATTCATCTTTGGCACATATCCAAGTTGTGTACGACCTTAGATAAGGGGGCTTGCCTGTTTGTCATTTGGTTTTGAAAATCTGGTATTTTTTGTTCAATCAAAATGTGAAAAATGTGCGGGGCATTGGATATTGTTAAAGGAGGCTTTATCATTCCAAACAAGTAAAAACCAATTTTCAATTTTCATAAAAATTTGGCTCTTGCTTGTGTCCTTTAAAGGGACCCTGCAACACTGTTCTATTTGCCATGGATGGGGTTTCACTGAAGAAGCTTTTTGCCTCACGAATTCACGGCCGCAAAAATTTTTCGAATTCATTAGTACAAGCGGAGAGAGTCAGTCGTAAGCGATCACGCATCGGACTATACCTGAAACATCATAAAAACGACTTAGGTATAGTATACTATACTGAAGTCATAATATGCTATCAAGAGGATGTGTAATAATTATCAAAAGCCAAACATGACGTACCAATACTGTCAAACATGTCAACGACTGCACTTCATTTTTCCTCTTGGGACTCAGAAGCGGTTGAAATAACCTTCTATTTAATTATTAAAGAAGGAAGATGCCGTTTCATAAAACTTGCACGATCGCCCCTTTTTAACGTTCTATGCAGCAGTATTACTAAAAGCAGTGACAAACAGTTTTATGACATACATTAGTCGCTGGCGAAAAGCCCCCGCTGGAACTTCCCGCTGACGTGCTACGCAGTGGAGGTTAGGCAATGGAAAGCTTTCTACTACCTTCTGTTTATTCGGATGAAAAATCTCTTGTTTTTTTTTTTCGCTTTAACCAAAGTAAGCTCTTCTGAAACTTTCTACATGTTGTACTCAGAAGCAATACTATTCAATAATACTGAAGTGATATTTTTACTCTCAATGCTACATTGAGCAAATTAGGCTGCGATGTGAGTGAAAATACTATTTTTTTCCTGCTTTGTCACAATATTCTGGCAATGTACTTGCTTGATTCACTCCTAAGGTAGTGTAATCATATAATATAGGAGCATATACAAAAGAAAATGCAAGTACATTACACGCGAAAAAAAGAGTGCTTCTTATAAGAAGCACCAAACACGCAGCATATCGCAATTCTTTGCCAAGGTGAACACGCAATAAAGTTGAAAGAAAAATGAATGAACTATGGTGAAAGTGCAGTGCCTTGACATTAAAGAAAAATATTTTAGGGGTAATTGCTCAAACAAGTAATAGTGTTTTTAATATTTAGCATCACACATTTTCACTTGGGTGCCGAACGTTTGAACTTTTTTTGTGAAATAAATCGCCTCAATAACTACTTCTCACATTCACGCATACCCGCATGATTTTTTTCAGCATGAACGGAGATGGTCGGAAATATGCGGGGTACACTTGATAGAAATAAAATGACTTATTATTTATAACATCTTGCATCTTTTCATCATCAGCTACAAGTACCACCATCTATTAAACCTACAAGAACTAACGAGAGGTGGCTACATACAGGAGACGGTACCCGCCATCTAGTGAACACTGCAAGAACTAAACTAGAGGTGGTTACATACAGGGACGGTACCACCATCTAGTGAACACTGCAGAACTAAACTAGAGGTGGCTACATACAGGCTACAGGGGACGCACAGCCCACGCCCTAAGGAACTTCGCCCCTAAAAAACATTTCTAGCAGCAGCGAGTAACAAATTTTGAATATTTTAAACGAAATATCCAGAGAGAAGCATGCAAGGCACCTACGAAAAAGTGATTTCCAGCATCTTCTTCAGAAAAACGGTGATGTCGTTTAAAGCGTGGCCATGCGGTGTTGAAATATTTAGCCTGAACATAAGCTGATACGTTGAATTACAGTTACTGTTAAACTTAACCCTAACATGCTGCTCGGAAGATGAAACTGATTTGTTTACATGTGATGGTGACTGTACTTTGAATCTTGTCGACCTCAATTCAGCTACTGCAATGAATCTTTGTGGAATTAGTAATATTAAGGCATTGCCGCAATATTCCTAATAAGATTAAGCTAATGGAGTCCCACTAAAATGCTTGAGGTGCGATATCTCCTCAAAAATCGTAAGGAATAAGGATCAGCCACATCACGCGCGCTCCAAATCAGAGGCGAAGGCGGGCACTTTCTTGATCGCAAGGGGAGGCAGGGCAGGCAGATGCTGTCAACAGCATTTTGTTTTGTACTTTTCAACCTTTTGTCCTGTCATATGCTTTGATTTATGGGTGGTAAAATGTTGGTGTTTTTGTGGCCTCTTGAATTGTGAGGTCGCCGAGTAGTGAGAGCGTGCGACGGACGCGAATCACATCGGCTCCGGCTCAGGTTCAATTTCAAGAATTTCTTCCTGGAGACCTGTTGCAACGATAGGAACTTGTTCCTAGCATCACCACTGTCAAGTCTATACCGGACTTCAACCTGTGAGTGCGCTTTTAAACGTTTTAACGCTTTCGAAAGTTCTTGAAGAGGTCCACCTCGCTAACCCTAACAAGCCGGAGACGCGGCTTGGACAGAACGCCGCCCCGCTCTACAGCGGATGGCGAGCGTCTCTGGGAGCGTCGCAGCCGACGAGAAGCACTCATTGCCCTCTCGCTCTACGGACCACATGATGGATACGCAGACCAGTCAAGACGCCGATGCACAGGTGAGCGATGAGCACAACGCAAATCCATGGATCACTGTTACCAAGAGAGCGAACAAACGCCGACAACTGCAACCCCATACCGTACCGACTCAACAGCTGCCCAGCACGCCGTCTGAGCCCGCTCTACGCCAGAGCCGGCCTAAGACGCGTCTACCAAGACTCCCACCACTCCCTGCCGAGGACTACAAGCTAGCAATCCGTCCCCATGGTGGATTAAATCTCAGCAAGGTTAGCCCCAAGACATTACTTCTCGCCGTAGTTCATGCAAAATACGCAGTGAGAAGCCTGATATCAAGCTTCGAGTTGACGAAAATCAAAATGTGCTAACAATAAGCAGGCCACGGGCAGCAAAAGGGCTCACAGTCCTCAATTCACTGAAGAAGAATGGCGATTTGGGCTAGTTGGTTTGAATTCATGATAATACGGGTTGCAGCGCTCGTGTTGTCCTCTTTGCCTTCCGTACCTCGACATTCGTCTGTTTCTTCTAGCACATTCGTGCTCGCACTGCAACCCGTATTATCATGAACTCAATTCACTGGCTTTCACAAATCAGGTACTTATAATTTCCTCCAGCGACTAAAGCTTTCTTCCCTCATTATTCTGTGTTTTTTTTCCTCCATCGCATTCTCCACAATAATTCAAATGTACGCTGGCTTATAGCTTTACATTTCAAAAAGATCTTTCTCTCTATCTCTCTCTCTCTCCAGATAAAAGTATGTTCACACGAACACTCGTCACGCCTGTCATTTTAAACCCTTTGATATACTCCCTTGCATAAACACAATATAAGGATACACAGAACTAATATTTGAGGCACCATGTATACCCTATGGCCCTTACTAAAGTATCCCCCTCGGCAAAAGCCGTTCCTCATGCTGGAGATCGGGCTACTTCGGCGGGACATCTATATGCGGCCTGCCGGTTCGCGTGGTAAGGTTTATTGAACGACGTCTTACTTGGCGTCCAGCGTTCGTCGTACGGCCCTGGGCAGTCCCTTCCGCACGAACATGGCCATAGGCACCTGGGTGACCGGATGCCGGGCATAGTAGAACTCGCCGTGCAGCATCGGGCAGTGACGGTGCAGTCGTCGATTGATGGCCACACGTGTGAAGAGCATTGCTGCACGCTCGGCTTGGATATCTTGCAGCGTCGACAGACTGAACAGCTCTGCCGCAGGCAGTGCGCCACCCTGCTCCACCAGACGTCGGTAGACCTTCTGGAACGCCTCCACGTGTGTGAACTAAGCACGTGCGGAACAGTGTTTGAACCGGTGACCCGGATATGACGTATGAAAAACTACTATGAAAGGTAACGTGCAAAGCAGCACTTTAACATCGTTTTTCTGCTCGGGCTCTCCACGGACGATTCAGACTAGATCTAGAAGGCGGTCTGACGAAAAAAAAGTCATCTAGGCACCGTTTCGCGTCCGCGTCAACGTGGCAAATCAATCTATTTCGTGCTTTTCTTTTTCACGTTTTCTTCCTGCTTAGCTGTAACTGCCTAGAAATTGCAAACATTTTCGTTGTCAGCATGATATTCCGAATTACGCTTCCAACCTCCCATATTTAATGTATTAGTTTTATATCTCTTCATTCTATACTGTCTTTTTTCATTGCGATGACAATTATATGTACTCTCGATGTGCATTCTTTCCTACGACGTCTTGTTCCGTATGAGGTCCAAAAAGATAAAATCCCCTTGGACCTCATACGGAAATCCCTTGTTCTATCTCTATCAGAGTCTACCTAAATTCAAGGACGTATATAGAGTTGTCAACTTCTTCGCCTTGTAAGATCATGAAGATACCAGAACATGATATACATTATCTTCTATTCGCATTTTTTGATGTTTACATGTGATAATATGACGAACCCTGTTAGTACCTTTATGGCCTGGTAGAATCCAGACCCGCGCAGCAACACTGGTCTTATCTTCTCCTCCCGTGCCAGGTCCTCTATGTCCCAGATTCGTTCGACATCCTGCTTGACCAGAAGACTGGCTTTCATGAACGCCGTAAAGAAAGTGGTGACCACGATGACGCTTATCAGCCAAAAGCACGTCACGACACGCTGGCTGACGGGGTTTGTCTTGCTCCAGCAGGGCACGGCTGCCGCGAAAGTGAAAAGCGAGAATGTCAACCGTTGCCTCGGCATCGCAGGGCTTCTTCGTAGCACCCTTAAAACACGCTGTGTGACGTTGGACACGTTGGTGTCGGCCACTGTTCTGTCGCCTGTTGGGCTACCATGATAGTAGATATGTTCGCTAAACGTTCATGATCAGCCCCTGCATCGATGATACAGTGAAGGTCCTGCTTAGTGCCTACAATTATGTTGGGGTGTGTTGAGGTGAGATAGGCGTCCGGTACAATATACCGCATGCGAACGGCACACAGGCCACCACCGCTTATGTAGCGTTACGTTGCGCAATACTTCTTAAAAGCATGCCCGCGCTTAGTTAAAAAAAACAAAGATCAAAACAGGACACTATAATTCAATGCAGTTAGTAAAGGGGAAACCGTGCGGGGAAATTGTGTGCGAATCTCGCAAGGCTAGACCTGACCTATAACATCCTAAACTTAACGTGCAAACCATCGAGCCTAGATGAGATGTGACAGTGTTCCCAAAGTCTTTATGATCAGTGGTTCACTGTGGTGGGCAGTGCCCCAGTGTTTGCATGCGACGCGTATCTTCAACAGCCGCCCGTTGCTGAATCTTGGCAACTTTCTATGTATATCTTAACTGTCCGCCGCTATAGAACTTTTAGTGTGACCACATAAAAGCTTTACCATTTTGATTTGTAACATTAAGGACAACCTATGCGCAATGATATGCTCTTAGTGACATTGATTTCCTAACTGACGCTTAGTAACATTCCTGTTTATGCGACCGACACCGGGCATCGTATTTTTTTTCTCATGGCCCATAAAAGACAACCGCATTTATATATCAGTTGGTACTGCCTCCCCCCCCCCCATCCTCTCGGCCTCTTTTGAACCTTTCTGTAACTTATCCGCTGTTGCTGTTCGAACTTTTGTGTATGCATCGTGTTCACGCCGTCGACGCAGTAAGCCCACTTTTTTCACGCATGAGCCATAAGATTTGTTGGCCTGGGTAACTTTTCGGCTGTGAATTCCTTGTGTACATATACATTCAGATCACTGTATTTTTATGTACGTTTTCAGAACTAGCCTTCAACCCTTCCCTCAGGTTTCCACCAAGAGTCATATGCAAAGCTGGGTGGTAATCTGTCCGTCCGTCAGTCCGTGCGTCTGTCCGTCCGTTCGTCTGTCTGTCTGTCTGTCTGTCTGTCTGTCTCTTAGTTTTCGCGACAAATAAGCCAACAAATTACGCTCAACTTTACTTTATGGTGGCCTTATATTATACATTGAGCTTTATTGTTCTGTGATGGTGGAAGTAAGTGCATTGATTGTTGGCCAAAAGAATTTGGCCTACCTAATGCGGAACACCATGTGCATGGGGAAATATAGTGCATACCAATATGGCGCACTCTTGTACTCACTCTCCGAAAGAACGCTGGTGACGAAATGCCAGATGAAGTATCCCAAGGGGCGAGATTTCTCTGAGCCGGATCTCAAGGTTTTTTCGATGATGTAATGTAGCAAACCATAAGCCAGAAGGCTGGTGACGATCAACATCCAGACCTGAAAATTGCGATCGCAAAAACAAACAGTAGTGCCATTCGCACAATATGCAGTTTGTGACTACTTTCCTAGAAGGCTAAAGTCGCTGCAACCAATTTAAATCTGTATTAATACAACATATATATGTGACGTGAAGTGTGGAGAGTTCAGCTCGAGATAAAAAATTAAACTGGTCGTCTGAATCTATCAATGTGATCATTAGAAGTGTGGGTGTGTATCTATACGTGAAATACAAATAAGAGGTAATGCAAACCGAGTGTAGGCTCAATGTTAAACAAAAATATTTACATGCCACGACAAAAAATGACAATAGTTACACACAACTGATCATTTCTGCAAGCAGACTACAGAAACAGCAAGAGAAGGAACAAAAATACAATAAATGCGAAAGAAAAAATACATATCTAGATAAAAACTTCCAACGTTATGCATAACTCGTCATATCACCAAAGAGTTTACAAGAACGGCAATCTACAGGCGGCCAATTAACAGCAGTAAACTTATTCGATGCTTCGTGCCGCTGTACTCGCAGCAGTGAGTTAAGGACATAGAAAGATCACTGGCGATCCTTTGTATTATTTCTTCCCACAGACGGAAATACAAGCTGTGATTATTTCATCACCATTGGCGAAAACGTGAGCGCGATGCTGAAAAGGTTGTTCCTGAATTGCTTGGGCCTCCCTCCTAGGATGACCATCTCTTCGTACGAGTAGGGCACTGTTGGATCGGCCACTGACACGCGCTGGGCAGTCACCACCAGTGGCCCGGGAGCGATGTCTGCCTCCTGTAGATATCAAAGAACACACAAGCGGGCAGATAACACATGCTTTGGAATGATACTGAATGAGCCGAATATTGCATTTTTTTTTAGTTCACTGGCTGTCAAGGCACGGTCGCCGAGTAGCGAGAGCATGCGACGGACGCGAATCACATCGGCTCCGGCTCAGGTTCAATTTCAAGAAGAATTTCTTCCTGGCGACCTGTTGCAACAATAGGAACTTGTTCCTAGCATCACCACTGTCAAGCCTATACCGGAATTCAACCTGTGAGTGCGCTTTTAAACGTTTTAACACTTTCGGAAGTTCTTGAAGAGGTCCACCTCGCTGACCCTAACAAGCCGGAGACGCGGCTTGGACAGAACGCCGCCCCGCTCTACAGCGGATGGCGAGCGTCTCTGGGAGCGTCGCAGCCGACGAGAAGCACTCATTGCCCTCTCGCTTCACGGACCACATGATGGATACGCAGACCAGTCAAGACGTCGATACGCAGGTGAGCGATGAGCACAACGCAAATCCATGGATCACTGTTACCAAGAGAGCGAACAAACGCCGACAGCTGCAACCCCATACCGTACCGACTCAACAGCTGCCCAGCACGCCGTCTGAGCCCACTCTACGCCAGAGCCGGCCTAAGACGCGTCTACCAAGACTCCCACCACTCCCTGCCGAGGACTACAAGCTAGCAATCCGTCCCCATGGTGGATTAAATCTCAGCAAGGTTAGCCCCAAGACATTACTTCTCGCCGTAGTTCATGCCGCAAATATACGCAGTGAGAAGGCTGATATCAAGCTTCGAGTTGACGAAAATCAAAATGTGCTAACAATAAGCACCTCGTCTGAACACATCACCATGGCACTTGGACAAATCACCAAAATTACAGTGCACGCAGCAACCTACGACATCACCTCTTATGGTATTGCGCCTGATAATTCGTGCAAAGGGTTGGTCAACGGAATAGGCCATGAAATCACACCAGATGACTTCCTGACAGAAGTTGAAGTACCGGGCTACGAGGTCCTTACGTGCAGACGCCTCGGCAACTCCGGAGCAATGGTGCTCACATTTTGTGGCAAGCGAGTCCCTTTCTTCGTGAACGCGTACGGACAGGCTCTCCGCTGCTACCTCTACAAACGGACCATTCCCCACTGTAGAAAGTGCAACAAAACTGGACACCGCGAGGATGTGTGCCCACAGCCTCCTGACACACCGAAATGTCGAGTGTGCGGGGGTTCACTATCACCCAACAACCACGAGTGCCGCCCTTCTTGCATGCTTTGTGGTGGCGACCACCCGACGGCTGCCAAACCATGCCCAAAGCGGTTTTTGCCACCTGTCGACCGATGCAAACCAACCCGGTCAGCTACTCCCACCAAGAAGGCCCAGTCACCATCTCCCAGCCCCGGACGGCAGAGCAGTGCGTCCGGGAGTGCAGCCAGGCGAAGGAGCCATTCCAGGGATAAGTCGGGGCCCAAGCGAGGAAACTCGTCATCGCGGAGTGGTTTCGCTGGCCAGCCGGGATCTCAAGGCTGGCACACGGACGGGACAACGCATCATCATGGCCAGCAAAGCGGTTCCCACAAGAAAGCACAAACGGTAAGCTGGGCAGGGCAGTTCCCTCCTCTCCCTCCCTCTCCACGCCAGTCCCACTCCCTCACACAAACATCAACGCAGGAAAGAACACCACAACCAACGCCACCTAGACTACCACAACCCATGTCAGTAGACACTCAGCTTCACCCTGACATGTCGTCAACTACGGCACGATCCGACTATTGCGCACGAGAGGCGTTGAACGAAATGGCTACTTCTATAAGGAACGAATTCGCAACTATGATGCAGGTAGAAATGCAGAAAATGAAGGATAGCATTATGGCTGAACTAACAGCTCCACTCCAACAATTGATCCAGCAGGCCCTGCAACCTGCTGTCCAGCAGATTGTAATGGATGTTAAACAGCAGATATCGGCTGCACTTGGCCAACTTGATATTTCGCCATCTGCACCAAAACGCACCACGTCTCCGACACGTGAAACACAGCGACCGCATCCTTACATACGCCCCTCCCGTTTCCTATCACCGTCCCGAAAAACCGTCCCAACAGCCGCAGCTGCTGCAGTCCCGCTTCCCACCACCCTCCACCAAGATTTAGCACAGTCCGAAATGCCTCCGTGTACTACCGAGGCCCCGCTATTGCATGATCATGGCGAGAAACCGTAGGCGTGACACCCCTCAACTCCGTCGTGTGTGGCAGTGGAATTGCAGGGGGTATCGTAGGAAACGCGGAGCTCTAATGCAATTCATTGCGACGCAGCAGATTACTCCCGATGTCATAGCGTTACAAGAAGTACAATGTGCCCCTACGCTTCCGGGTTACACCACATACACGGACGTAACGAACAATACACCACATCGCACAGCTACATTAGTTTCTAAGCATGTCACTGTCATAGAACACACCCTTCAAAGCACCTCCATCTCACACGTACTTCTCGAATTAGTCCCATGCTCTCGTTCCAGTAGCAGCCTGTACGTGCTTAACGTTTACAGTGCACCTAACGCCAGGAACGATGACTTCGGTAATCTATTCACACAAATCTGCAAGTTGGGTAAACAAATAGTTATTGTAGGAGATTTCAATGCCCCCCATCCGGCTTGGGGCTACGCAACAGAAACGCCTAAAGGCCGACGACTCGCACAAGTTCTCACGATTCATCGCATGACCCTGCTGACAGAACCCGATCAACCCACTCGCCTAGGTAATAATGTGAGCAGGGACACATGCCCCGACCTCACGATAGTCAAGGGCGTTAGTCACCATTCCTGGTGCAACCTCATGGTGAATCTAGGCAGTGATCACCATATACTAACTACAGAGCACCAAGTAGCAGCCACGCGTGCCCCAGAGCGCATCATAAAACTAACGAATTGGGATGCATTTAGGCGTAATCGTACAACTACTCATCAGGACTCTCCTTCCCTAAAGGCTTGGATATTACAACTTCATTCCGATTTTCAAAGAGCTACCAAACTCGTCGCTGCGACGACAGAAACGCCGGATGTGGACCGGCATCTGCTACATCTCTGGGATGCCCACAGAGGCTTGACACGGCGGTGGCGGCGACAGAAACATAACCGAAAACTTCGTCTCCGAATCGCCAAACTAGCTACTGAGGCACAGGACTATGCGAACATCCTCACTAGCAACGATTGGCATAACTTCTGTGATCGACTCAACGGCTCGCTAAGTACACCTCGAACGTGGCGTATACTCTGTGCTCTTTTAAATCCCACGCAGACAAAGTCACACACTGCTAACGCAATCCGCACCATTCTCCACAAATCAGGGCTCGACGATAACACTCTGCTGCACACCTTAAAGCAACACTATGTATCCACGGGCTCCCATCCCGCCTACCGTGATTATCCACACGTACACGATACGCCTCTAGATGAGGACTTTACAGAAGCAGAGGTTAGGGCAGCTTTGCAAAGCATTAAGCGCAACACAGCACCCACAACAGACGGGATTACGTACACACTTCTGCGTAATTTAGATGACCAGTCCATCGAATATTTAACCGCTGTTTACAACGAACATTGGAAAAACGGAACGCTACCACAGGAGTGGCGACACGCAGAAATCATACTTATTCCAAAGCCTGGCAAACCGCTATCCCCCCAGAATCTTCGCCCTATATCCTTAACTTCATGTGTAGCTAAACTCTTTGAACGCGTTGTTCTCTCTAGACTACAACCATTTCTCGAAGACAATCACTTTTTTCCTGATACACTATTCGGCTACCGTCCTGGTATCTCTACACAGGATGTATTATTACAGCTTAAGGAGGACGTGCTGGATAGCCCCACTTCAAACCAGGTCCGAGCTATTCTGGCCCTGGATCTGAAGGCTGCTTTTGACAACGTCTCCCACGACCTTATTCTTGACAATCTCGCTTCATCTCAGTGTGGCTCCCGTATCTACAATTACGTCAGGTCCTTTCTTTCTGACCGCACGGCCACTATTGGGATTGGAGACCTCCGTTTGGACGTCATTCGTCTCGCAGGCAGAGGAACACCACAGGGCTCGGTTCTCTCACCCACTTTGTTCAACGTGGCTATGGCTAAACTCCCTTCCCTATTACAACAGGTTCCCAACATCCAGCATGCCATCTATGCAGATGATATTTCAATTTGGGCGACCAAAGGATCAGACGGAACCATTCAGGACGCCCTACAGGAAGCTGTGTCCGTGGTACAAGACTATGCTGCTGCCGGCAGCCTTACGTGCTCAGTGGATAAGTCGGAGTTGTTATTAGTATACAAGCGGCGCCGCAAAACCGCTGATTCTCCTGACATTTCGCTGCTTCTTGATGGCCATCCTATCCCTCTGGTACCACGAATTCGCATTTTAGGCCTCTACCTTCAGTCCGACGGCAATGCCTCGTACACTACACACCTTCTGGCTCAGGAGATAACTCAAATTACACACATGATCCAACGCATCACCAATCGCAGGAGAGGCCTCTGTGAGAAGGATGTCCTCCGTTTAGTACAAGCACTCATAGTTAGTCGGCTCACCTATCATCTTCCCTTTCACAATCTCACTCTAGCTCAAATAAAAAAGATGGACATCCTTCTACGGACATCTGTGAAGGCGGCTATCGGCTTGCCTCCACACGCATCTACACAACGCCTCCTTCAATTAGGAGTCCACAACACCATAACCGAACTCATCGAGGCCCAGCACAACAGTCAGCTCCAACGGCTCAGGCAGACCCGTCAGGGCTGCGCCATCCTGTCTCGTCTTGGCTACCCGATTCCTCAAAAACCCGCACAAGTACCGCGATATAAACTTGCTTCTACTGTCCGCGCACTCATCAAAGTGCCTCCGATTCCACGCAATATGAATCCCTCCCGCCACGCCGGTCGTCGACGTGCCCGAGTTCAGGCTATGACACGCGTCTTTGGTGATGGTACATCAGACTTACAAGTACTTTACACTGA